CATTGCTCAGCTTCCAGATGACAGGCCCGGAGAGGCAGGGCAAATGAAAATTCTTGCCTCTGCAAGCTCTTACCTGGTCCTAGGAGCCTTTTCTTGGGGCTCCGCTCCATCGAAATGGACGGCGGACACATCTTCGGGCTCCGCTGGCTTAGAAGAGGAGTCCGTGGCAGGCTCCGGCGGCCTGGGAGACTCCTGCCCACGCTGGGGATTGGGCGCGGCGGAGCCCCTGGCTCCCACACCAGGCCTGACATTCGGCTTCACGCTAAGGCGTGCCCTGCGGAACATGGCGGAGCCAGGGGGCCCGGGGAGGCAGCCTGACGGCCGCTCACAACCCCGAGCCCCGGCGGCTGCCCGGAAAGGGGGTTAGGAACTACGCCCTCCCCACAAAGCCCCACCACCAGCCCAGCGGGCAGCTACCGCAGTTTCACTGCCCCGCCGCCACCTCCTCCTCTCTCCCGCCGCCGCCGCTTTTTCATGACCCTGCCACACACTGACGGCCAAATTTCTCTCTCCTCCCAGCTCCCCCGCCCTCACAGGGCGCCGGAACTGATCGCGCCATCAGCCAGCGCCGCGGAATGACGTCAGACGCATAGCACTGGGAGCCATGGTAACTACCAAGCTACCGAGACTGGGTTATCTGCGGATCAGAAATTGAGATGCAGAGACCTGTGCTCTTTATTCTCTAGGACTCCTTAGGAGTGGTTGAAAAGAAGAAAGTCGACTTTTCAGCTCAAACCTTTACTGGAACTATTAAAATCGCTGGCCGATTTTGTTTTTAGAGGTCCCGAAGGGCTTAGAAATTCTGAATTGAGTAGACAGATTAGAAATGCTGGTGTGAAGAAACTGATAATGGTTACTTCCTAGGAGAGGAATTGAGTTTCTGGGAAACACGTCGTGGTAGAAAGATCATGTATTGTACGCCCTTGTGTACTTTTTTGTTTTTTTATTTTGAGACAGGGTCTCGCTCTGTCGCCTAGGCTGGAGTGGTGCAGTAGGGCAATCTTGGCTGACTGCAGCCTCCACCTACAGGGCTCAAGCGATCCTTCCGTCTCAGCCTCCTAAGTAGCTGGGACCACAGGCGCGCACCACCACACCCGGCTAATTTTTTTTCTTTTTTTGTATATTTATTAGAGACAGGGTTCATTATGTTGCCGACGCTAGTCTTGAACTCCTGGGCTCAAGCGCTCCACCCGGTTTGGCCTCCCAAAGTGCTGGGACTACAGGCGTGAGCCACCACGCT